ATCGTGTTAACCAGACCCTTTCCTTAGCAACAGTACAGCTCTGTTGTTGTTTTTGTTTTCTCACTCCGCACTCCGCACCACTCATTCCCGGAAGAGCCGTTGTAAAGTATAGTAGTCACATACAGCATCAAAAGCGCAGTCATTTTAAGGTCACAACTTAAAATTGGCTGATTATTTATTATCAATCTAAACGTTCGTCCGCTTTGATCAAGTATTTAGTGAAACAGTTACCCTCACTGAGTTTGTTTTCAATTACTGCTATTTGCATAGGAGCTAAAATTATTGAAACAAAAAGTTGATATGCTACGTTCTTGGTCATGGACATTGGTGGTTGAAATAAATCGATTTTAGTCACCTTAACGTATTGAAAACTTTTATAACTTAAATAAAAGCTATCATACTTATAATGTTTACGTGTAAAATGAAAAGAAAATAAACCAAGTCATTTCTGCCCTACACAGACCTTGTGAACACTGGTAAGTTTGTCAAACAGCCCTGAGGAAACAATATAATCTCATTCACACTTGATCGTAAGCGCAAACAGTGAATACTGGAACAATGTTTCTGCAATGTTAGGTGTAATCGGTCCTCGTCTAGGTTGTCGTTTCTCCTCTGGTAATGTTTTCCAAGGCAATTACATACTTTGTTTAAAGACGACTCTTAATCCAAACTAAAACTAAACAGATATTTTGCAATTGCCTTTCATGACTGGTAAACATGCAACGCAATTCAAGAGCCTGTACTTGTAGAAGAGCAGTTAACGCCTGTCGACCAATATTATGTATGTGCTTCTAGAGTAGTCAGCCCTTGCACTGGGGTGTGAGATAATTAAAAATGTAGTTGTCGACCAAACAAATCATTTTTGATAGTTTAAAGCGAGGGATAGTTTAGAGCGAGATCGATTTCGCTTGCACCCTTCACTAGGTCAAAACCTTGTAAATTCTCAAATTGAGGATTAGTTTCAAAATGACCGAGCGGCGACAACCTTAGTACCTAATCCGCAAATTTCATTCTTACTGTGTTANCCTTGTAAATTCTCAAATTGAGCATTAGTTTCAAAATGACCGAGCGGCGACAACCTTAGTACCTAATCCGCAAATTTCATTCTTACTGTGTTATACAGTTTAAGTGGTAAAACTCCTACTTAATATACCCTTGCCATCAGCTACCGCAAAATGAGAAATTGGAAAAGAACATCAAGACGATTGGTATGCACTGCCAAAACATACTGCCCGGGCCCACTTTATTTATTTTTTTTTTTTTCTCTCCAAAAAAGTTGAAGGCTAAAATAAAATTGAACCTAAGAAAAGCAATCAACTATTCAGGCTTCATTTTCATTTCTAATTAGCTATGAATTCACAGCTAAGACAACTATGCATTATGCAGTGGAAGAGAGTCCTCGATTTGTTATAGTCCTTGATTTATTCGGAGTTTTCGGAAATTAAAAGGTCTCTACCATCAAACGTCTGTACCCTAAGTACGAAAGGGATATAGGCAAGGAAGGGAAGGGAGAAACAGTTCTTCGCCGTTGCTTCGCCTTAGTCCTGCCTCATTTTTTTCTAAAAACAACAAGAACATGTAAACGAAGAGAAAAAACGATTAAATTGACAGCAATACAGTCAAGAATGTTAAAGTGTCAAAACTGTTTGCAGCGGTGATCAATCACTCCATCTGACGCGACCTTCAAACTGTCAAGGTTTGGTATACGATAGTCTTCACTGTTTTAAGTATGTGTGTTATCGATCCGCTATATATTTAAAAAAAAATCGTTATTTTAAGCATGTGTTCTCGATGAATGTACATGCGTATATTACTATTAATTCACGAAAACAATTTGAATTCTTTTGCTGCAATCACTTCTCTCGTAGCAATTATCATTTTATCAACATGCAGGGGCACGTATGGCTACCCCATATGGCACCTATGGCGTAGCCGTAGGTGCCATATGGGGTAGCCATTCGTGCGAACACATGATCACAATTACGATAAGGGCTTAATTAAATTAGTTATCACACCCTGGATGTGTTATCAATCATATCATATTTGTATGGGTGCAAAACTTGGAAAACAATTGATGTCGGCCAATTTAATTTATATTTGATCTTTCTTTTTTCTTAACCTTCCAGCAGAATCAATAAAAATTAAAATCCATAAAAACTAAGGGCTGTGACGGCTTGTTATGGAGTTCGTAACAAGAGAGTCAACCATTCTGTTCGAATAAAGCCATTCTGATTGCTTGAAATAAGATCGCCAAAGATAATCAATTAGTTTTGTTTGTTTGCCCCATTGAGCCCCATTTCGTTATCAAATATGTTTCAGGTGAGAGTTACAACATAGCATCAATTAATCAAAAGCATAGTCGTTTTTTCTCTTCAAACGAAAACTGCCTGATTAATTAGAAACCTCCAATACGTAAAATAGTAAGTATTGTACACTCAGAAATACATAATTATATATTCTAGATAGATTTGTGGAGTTGGACTAATTCAAACACAGTTATTTGCTATTCCGATATATATCAGTTATTCACCAATGTTCTTGTGGCTGAGGAGAATAATTGTTTTCGAATAATTTTCAGAGGTGAATATCAAGGACTATAAAATAACGAACTAAAACATAAAAACAGACTTATTTGTTCGTTTGCATACACGTATGCAGCCGTAGTTTAAATAATGAGCTTGCATGTTCATCGATTGTGAATCAATGTATACATCAAGTTCGACAGTAAAACAAACAAGCCAAAATTACGAAAAATAAATTCATCCGGTACCTTTGTTTTATCCTTGTTGACTTCATTCACAGTTGTCATGGCCTAAAAAGGAGCAGCTTCAGTTGGAAGGAAAATCAATCTTGGTCACTTAAACTGACCTGCTTGCGATCAACGTAAGTACTGTGTTTACGATTCTTGAATGCAGTGAATACGAGTTCCTGAAAATATTTTTTTTGTCCAGGAATGAGAACAGTCATTTTGAAAATTCTCCACCCTTCAAAATATCGATCCAGGACTTGGAGTGATGTCTTTCGAATAAATGAAAATTCCGTTTAGCAACTGTCCGATATGTTTACTCCCCGAAATGACAACCACCGCGAGTCTATTTTCTCCTTTAACCAAGCTCAGAATTTTTTTATTCATCGCCTAGCGCGGTGAATATAGTGTAATAAACCGTGCTTTTCGATCAGTTAGAATGTCCAATTCCTATATTCACCTCTTGAAACTATATTAAACATAGAGTTAAAAAAAAAAAAAAACGGAGCTGTGACGGCTACCTCGAACAAAGTTGTACAGACAGTGCAATTAAGGTTGCCTCGACAGCTAATTAAATTTCGGTTTATATTAATTAAAAATGGCAGTTCCACTTACCCAACTCTTCTGTCGCTTTGTACGACAAAAAAGGAAGAGAGGAGATAACTAAAAAACAAGAAAATTAAAAAGTATTATTGATATTGATACCAAAAAAAGTGATAAAGTAACAAAACTGCTTAACAGATAGAAAGAATGTCCATTATTAGCATTGGGGTTTAAGGAATGTTGACATATAAACATATAAAATGATCATATAAAAATAGTAACTAATATACTGACACACCAAGGCCAAGGGACACCTCCCACGTAGAGGCTCTTAGCCCGTCACGCGTTCCTTACCCACGAACGTCTGCTCAACGGACCGGTAACTTCTATTCACTGGCGGTCAGCCTTTGTTTTGAAAGAACCAATTTACTGTTGTTTGCATGTTGACACCTCTGTCTTTTGCCATGTGCTTATGCATTGTTTAGGCTCATTTCTATTGCAAGATATTTGCTTTCGAGGGAAAAGTCATTTTGCTTACTTGCATTCTATATTGTGGCGCTGGGCCCGGCTGTTTGATTAGAGAATGTATGTTGCTTCTTATCACGGATATTATATTTATCCTCGCCCGGTTTTTCTTCGGAGACGCCGTAGCTTTACTTCGAGAAAGCTATACGTTTCTGTAAGGACGGTGTTATATTTCCTCGCCCAATTTGATCGACCTTATGTCTCTCGAGCTCGATGTAAAGGTTAATTTATTCCTTCTTTGTCCGTTCTAACTGGCCTTACATAATTCTGATTTAGTCGTTTATGCTCCAGTCTGTCGCCCGTTTTGAGTGGCGGTATATCCATTGTTTGGCTTAGTTCAGGCAAGACCATGATCTCGATCCTCTAGGTGGATCTCATCATTATGTCTAAAATACACTGCACGTCTGTAGTTACTGGTGCAACTCGTATGTGTGTGAGAATGCCCGGGGTATCCAATCCATGGAATCAATAATCGATGACAATCGATATCAATCGATACCAATCGATATCAATTAATCGATTGATAATCGATGACCAATCAATGGCGAAGATTCGTGTGGTTATCGATTGGTTGCAGATTGACGGAACCGGAATCTACGCAAAAAAAAAACACAACTTTGTACGCAGTAATTGTAAACACATTTCATTTTAATGTTAACAGGAGAACAACACAGAAATATCTGCATGTAGTGGCCAAAGAGGATCCACAAGCTCGGACTGTAGATGGCCGAGCTGCCCACGATGGTTCACAACTTTAAACGCGTTTCCCCGTTCTCTCCTCTTCTTGTTTGTAGTTAACACTTCACCGACGTTCAGCTCAAAACGGCAAAGATGATAGCCTTTGAGGATGTACCTTATATTCACTAAAGCCCTTCATAACTTATGTTTGGAGCAACTGTGTTAGCCGCAAGGGTCATAAATAACCTATCGAATTTTTGGTCAGGTCATAAATAGGGCTAGGCTGTTGGGAAGTGGGCCGCACACCCCCCACCAAACTTTTCTGGGAGTCCTCCCCGGACCTAAGAAATGAGGCGTTTTCTTTACTGATAGTTGAGTCAGAGATCTCAACGTTTATTGATGGGTGACAGATAACTGTTAAACTGTTAGCTGGCAAATCGCCCAAAATAACCGAGATTACAGCACCCCATCCAGTCCCTTTGAGTCGATTTTCGTTCGTCCAATATTTTTTAACTTGTTTGTATTTATTTTTTAGGTACGGTCCAGCAGTTGCTGAAGCTACAAACAATTCTATGGGAGCTGCGGGGTTAGTTTTACAGGTAAACTACACAAGATAATCTCGATAAACTTGCTCCATTTCATGACAGCAGCGATGACGGCAGTTCGGAGAAGATGAGAGAAGCTGAGCACAGTTTATTTCACTCTGAGGCTCTCTCTCTCCTTTTCTCCCATGTCGTTGAGGAGACAAGGAAGGCATAAGAGAGAGAGCCTGGGATCGAGTTTGTAAAAACACCCAGCGAACAGCGTGGCGAACTTTGTACATGGCGTCACTTCTACAAATTAGTTCCCATCTCTGGAGACTTTTTCTACAAAAAAGACGCGTGTTTTGAGCTAAAAGAACTTTTTTCCCCAAGACTAAATCGCTAACAACGTTATTTTTTGTTGGACTAACATCAAAGGAAATAAAGGTTTCCCATGTCATTGCTAGTCTCTGTGGCTGCTCTGTGGCTTGTTATGAAAAACTCACTCTTCGTACTTAACCAATTACAGCGCTGTAGTGACGTTGTCACGCGAATTTTTGCTCTCATTTGCGGTACGATATTCACATGTAGTGTTTATTTATTAGGTTTTCGTTCTTTTGCACCTCTACAATTGAGTCTGTTGTCTTTGTCTTTTTTTTTTTTGTCTTGACACAGACGTGCTGGAACGTAGAAAATCTAGGAATCAAGTAAGTACTTTTATGACATTGAAAATGTCTAAGGTTTTATTAGACCGAGTGTGAGACAAAGCCCAACCTAAAAATGTTTCTTTCCAGAGCTCTTGCCAAACGAACTGCGAAAGACACAGGAAAAGAAGTGGTTAAAGAGGCGGAGAAGAAGTACATTACCGATGGGAAACAATAAAACTGCTGTATAAAAAGTGACATCTACGGGGCATGTCAACAACAGCACTTTTTCAAAGACGAAAATTGTATACAAAACGTATTCTAAGTTAGTGGAATGAGTAATAAATTAGCTTTAGTTTTTTCCAGGATTTATAAGCTTCCACAGGGTGATGCTAAAATAGAAATAAAAGAATATAAAATTTTATGGAGGCTACGTATGAGGTTGGGTGAGAATTTGTATGAGTACTGAGAAAAATTCCTATGAATAAATAGTCCACGTTTTGTAATCTTTGTATAATTTGAATAAAGTTAAATTTTCTTGCATCAGTTCTGTCGCGGTTTATTTTTCTATTTAGTTTTTGTTGACACGGTACGAGGTTCTAGTCCTGTTCACATCACAGTCATTATCTTTACTGGAAACGTTTGTTCTATTAGGGGAAGAGGAGAAAATCTGAAGTACCCGGAGTAAACAAAGACCCTCAAAGCAAAGAGAGAATCAACAAGAAACTCAGTTGAACGCAAAAATAGAAATAGCTAGCGGTAAGCTGGTGATGGGAGTGAGTTGACTTTGAGGCGAGTGTTCGTCCAACTATATCGCTCACTATGGTGGGAGCAGGCTAACCTGAGCTGGGGCGAAATCACTATCTCGCCCTCCTGGAGAGCGCGATTTGACTGCGGACGGTCACGAATACTTAGCTAATACTTCGCTGCCTAATAAAAAGTACGGTTAAACTCTCTCTAGGAATCTCCATAGCTTTCCCCACTCCCTAGCACCCTCCACCGCTCCGCCAGCTCATAATCCCATAATGTCGACATAAACACGCTAAAAAAGCCAAAAAAAGCTGGTTATTCGAAAGTAACGAAGTGAGGCGAGAGGGGGAGGAAAAAAACACTGAAAAAGAAGGATTCCCCTCTCCTCTCTACCTTAGAAAGCCTGTTACTCGGGTACTGTATTTTCCCCCAGTGTATGACATTTGCAGACTGCAGACTGTAGTCTTCAAATGTCATACACCGATTTTCCCCTAACCTCTTGTACTTTAAGGTGGCTGAACACAGTTTTTGAAACCTGTGTTTCATTCGCCTTTTTCTCTAAAACCCTTGATCTGTCGGTCGCCAAAAATGACAGCAAGCAAGTTAACAACACAAACTTTGTTTTTTTGATGGTTAAGCTGACGTATGTGCCGTTACCATGGCAACATGAATAAATATAAATATCGGTTTTGT